GCAGGTGCGTCAGCAGTGATGCATGTGTGTTAGCAGTGATGCAGGTGTGTCAGCAGTGATGCAGGTGCGTCATCAGTGATGCAGGTGTGTCAGCAGTGATGCATGTGCGTCAGCAGTGATGCAGGTGTGTCAGCAGTGATGCAGGTGCGTCAGCAGTGATGCAGGTGCGTCAGCAGTGATGCAGGTGCGTCAGCAGTGATGCAGGACCGGTAGCATTGAGATGCAGGTGCGCCATTAGCAGTGATACAGGTGCATCAGCTCCTACCTGTCTTGGCCTTCTTTGCCCGCTGTCTTCTTATTTCGTCGGGCCATCTTGCACTTGTAGCTGGCCTTACGGGCGGGGCCCACTTTAATGGAGGTGTTCTCAAAGGGCGTGGTCGTCACGGTCACCTTGTTACCGCTCTGAACAGATCACAAGGAATGATTCTGTTAGATACTAATGATCATCCAGTAAAATCTCTTTTACACTCGGCCTGAGCTCGGCAGTGAAAACACTAATGTTTGTACGGGGATCAGTGTGACTGCTGAGACCAACCTTCAGGATGAGCTCGACCACTTCGGTGTGGACCAAACCGTGGACAGGTTCTCCGTTCACGTGAGTGATGAGATCACCAGCGCACAGGCCAGCTTCCTGGGCGGGGCCGCCGTCCTCCACATGCTGCCAGAAAACAGTTTCCATGAGGAGGTTGTTCATGTCTTAGTTTCAGATGAAGTCAGAGCTTTCAGTTCAGATTATATACAGATCTGTGCAAAGTTCTTCAGCAATTCCACATTTTTACAGTCACTTTCTTATAATGCTTCAAAATCATCTTGACCAACTGTTCTTCAGACATTTTAAGGTCTTTCAAACATTTCTTTAGACTCTGACTGCAGTTTCACTCATTTTCCTTCATGAACAATTTCACCGAGGTTGTTTTTTGTACAAGAGCCATTTAGCTCTGACCTATGAATCATTCCGGTATAAAACGGCTCCGAACCTCAAGGAAACAAAGAGCGTTTTATCAACACGCAACAGACAACTTACTGTGACGCAGCAGTGTGTGGACCAACAAATGCAAACATGGACCATAGAGGAAATGAAAAAAATCTAACTTTCATAAAAAACAAACATAAAGAAACTGATGTGTCAGCAAAAGTGAGGAATAAAACAGAGTTCAGAGGAAGCACAGACTAAAAGAGTAAAGACTGAAACACAGAGATGGGTGAATGTGAGAAGAATCAGTCTGAAAGAGATGATGCTGACAGAGGTCAGGAGAGGCGGGAACTACAAAACAAGACAAACATGGCTGACTGACACAGAGAGGTTCATCTGCCTAGATGAACTGAGTGATAGAAAACCATCAACAGGTGCAGTGGAGGAGCCAGGGGGTGGTCAATGGTGGCCTGGGCCACCATCGATTATACGCCAGCCAGCCCCATCAGTCCTCCAAATCATTTGAGGAAACTATTTTTAAGCAAAATTAAAACTAGAAAAGAGTTTCCTCAAATGATAGAGGGGCCGGTTGGACGACCATCTTGGATTTTGACATGGCAACCCAGTTTTGGAAAATAACCTTTCTTCTGTCTAGATGTAGCCACACGCCAAAATGGAATTACAGTGTAGGTACCTCACTTATATTTTAAGTCATTGCATTTACAACATTCATGGACAGATGGACGGAGGGTGATTCCAATTCCTTATTGCTCTAGGACAGGGAACGATTTTCTGAATCTAAATGAAAATAAAACGGAAGTCATCAGCTTTGGTAAATGTAATACCCTTAATGTGCTTGGCCCCTTGGCTTCATACAGCCACTCCAATGTCAGGAATCTGGGAGTTATTTTTGACAGTGCTTTTAAATTAGACAAACAGATAAATACAGTTGTGAAATCCAGTTTCTTCCAGCTAAGACTCATTGCCAAGGTGAAGTCTTGTCTCCCTTTCAGAGACCTTGAAAAGGTGATTCACGCTTTTATTACATCTCGTTTGGACTACTGTAATTCACTGTATGTTGGTTTAGACAAACCATCTTTGCATCGTTTACAATGTGTCCAGAACGCAGCAGCTCGTCTTTTAACAGCAACTAAAAAACATGAACACATAACCCTGTCCTGGCTTCTCTCCACTGGCTTCCTGTCCACTTACAGATTGATTTTAAGATTTTATTGCTTGTTTTTAAAGTCTTAAAAGGTCTGGCCCCGTCATATTTATGTGATCTCATTAACATCTACACTCCAGTAAGAGCACTCCGGTCTACCAACCAGTTCCTCTTAGATGTCCCCAGATCCAAACTGAAATCCAGAGGTGATCGGGCTTTTGTGGTTGCTGCTCCAAAACTGTGGAACAGTTTACCTGAGAATTTAAAGAGCGCTCAGACTGTTGAGACTTTTAAATCTTTGCTCAAGACTCATCTGTATTCCTTGGCATTTCATCCACGCAGAGTCTGAGAACAAGTTGAGCTGATTTTATTGTTGTTGTGTTTTTACTGTTAACTTATGTTTTTGAGTGGCACTAGATGCATTTTTACTCTTTTTTAATTTTTAATCTGTCTTAACTGTAAAGCACTTTGGTCAGCTTTTGTTGTTTTTATGTGCTATAGAAATAAATTGACAATGACATAACGATAAACTCAAAGCAGCAAAACAAAAACAAAATCTGCAGGATCGTGACGCTTCATCAAATAATCCATTTCAAGGAATTCTTGGGCACTTTGTTACCTGCAGTCTGACATATTTGGTCACAATTACTGTATTCAAACTGATGATACAAAATATGGGGCTCAGCTGGTAGAGCTGCTGCCTCTCAGCGAGCAGGTCGCCGGTTCAAATCCCGGCCAGGGGCCTTTCTTGATGGAGTTTGCATGTTCTCTCTGTGCATGCGTGGGTTTTCTCCAGGAACTCCAGTTTCCTCCCACAGACCAAAAACATGCATGTTAGACTGACTGGTAACTCTAAATTGTCCCTAGGTGAGAGAGTGAATGGCTGTTTGTCTCTATGTGTCCCTGTGATGGACTGGAGACCTGTCCAGGGTGTCCCCCGTCTCTCACACAGTGATAACTGGATATGGGCACCAGTGATCTTGGCTACCCGAAAAGGAAGAAATGGGTAAAGATAAAGGATGGATGAATGGATAGACAGAAGGATGTATGGATAGAAGAATAGATGGATGCATGCATGGATGAATGTATGGATGGCTGAATGAATGGACAGATAGAAGGATGAATGAATGGATATATGATGGATGGATGATAGATGGAAGAATGAATGGATGGATGATGATGGATGGATGAATAGATGGATGGATGGATTGATGAATGAATGGATGGATGGATGATGGATCGACAGATAGAAGGATGGATGAATGGATAGATGGATGAATGGATAGATGGATGGTTGGATGGATAAAATTAATAGATGGAATGATGATGGATTAATGAATGAATGGATGGATGATGGATGGATAGATGAATGGATGGATGGATGAATGAATTAATGAATGGATGGATGGATGAATGGATAGTTGGATGGTTGGATGGATAAATGAATATATGGAATGATGATGGATGGATGGATGGATGAATGAATGGATGGACGGACGATGGTTGGATGGATAGATG